GTAAGTCTGTTCACAATACCACATGCCGCAGTCAGACCGCCCCTCGCACACCTGGGCGACTGCTGCCATGCTGCCCACACACCTGCAAAGGCCTTCTCCCCACCAGTGACAACAATGGCCCCCACAGCCGGATCCTCCTCGAAGGCCTCCAGGGCCTGGTTGAGCTCCGTGATCAGGCCATTGCAGAGTGCGTTGAGTGCTTTGGGGCGGTTCAGCTGGATGAAGCCCACGTTGCTGTTCTTCCCCTTCTTTTCTGCGATGATGTACCGAAAATCAGCACCTGGGGGAAGAAGGGATTTCCATTCGTGTAGGCATCAGACCCGTCATGGGCAGAGTGACCCCGACATGTCCGCTGCCCAGACCTCAGGCAGCAGCACACAGCTCTCAGCCTCACGGTGGCCTTTGCACCACTCTCTACCTTCCCAGAACCTGCACAACAGACGTCCTGTGACTCAGCAGAAACAAGGGATGGGTAAATAGGTTCCTTCCACAAACGCCAGCTGGATGAGGGAGCAAAGCCGAGTGTGCACAGAACAGAGCGGGAGGCATACCAGGGAACGGTGACTGCCTCCGGCCGGAGGGGCAGGCTGCTGACCCGGGGGGCGGGGTCGGTATAGCCTGGAGAGGGAAAGAGTAACCTCAGAAGCCGTAGGTCTGTGTGTCTGCGAGCACCCTGGGGGTTTGGTGGGAGTAACACAGGCGAAATGCTTAGCAGCAGGGTGTCTGCGGCCCAGGAAATGACTGCTGGTTGCAGGTCAGGACCCGAAGAAGCGGGTCAGCAAAGGGAACTTAGGGTAAAATCAACATGCTCTGGTAGCTGGGCAGGTAAGTGGATACCCGGGTGCGGGAAGAGGATGCAGGGACTCCACCCCCCAGCTCAGGGAGGGACAGGGCCCAGAGTTCCTCAGGAGCGCTGCGGCCCTGAGGCCCTGACCTGAGTGGAGGACAGGCCCGGCCGCTGGGGGAGGCAGAGTCCGAAAAACAAACTTGGGAAAAGCAGTGGATGTGGGCAGGCCTGTGCAGGAGGCACTGCGGGACAGAACACGGGACCTCTGCCAACTCCGGAGGCCCAACTGCACATTCTCTGAAAGTCCTGTAAACCCCGCAGAATTTCACCGCCAGCAACCACACTGAATGGCCAGAGGTCTCAGCACTTAGTCATGAGTCCCCCCAACTGAGGGGCTAACCCCAGAGATCAGCAAACCGAGGTAGCAGGTGCTGGAAGGTGAGCCCAGCCGGACAGCAGGGGGGCCGGGCCGGGCCCTGGGTGCACAGGGAGGAGTGGGAGGGCGGACGGGATCAGGGGTGATGGAGGGGATGAGGCCCGGGGTGAGTCAGGGGGGTTCCAGGGGCGGCCAGGGTCAGGCCCCGGAGTGAGGTCCGGGGGTCAGGCTGGTGGAGGGGGTGAGGCCCGGGGTGAGCCCCGGAGGTTCCAGGGGCGGCCAGGGTCAGGCCCCGGAGTGAGGTCCGGGGGTCAGGCTGGTGGAGGGCGTGAGGCCCCGGAGTGAGGTCCGGGAGTCCCGGGGGCGGCCGCGGTGCCGGACTCCCACGCGCCCTAAGTCCCGTACTCACCCGAGACGAAGGGGCGCAAGGCCGCGCAGCCGGGCCGGGGGCGCAGCGGGCAGCGGACGCGGGACAGCATGGCGCGCACTGCAGCCATGGCGCTGTGGGGACGGCTCGGCCCGCCCCGCGGAGCCGCCCCCGGCTACACCAGTCAGGGCCCGGCCCGCCTCCGGTCCGGCGCCGCGAGACGGCGCAGGCATCGCGAGACCAGCGGGCCCCGGAAGGGGGCGTGGCGAGGTGGGGGCGGGGCCAAGGGTCCGGGAGCCGAAGGAGGCTTGCAGGCCGCGGCGGGCTGAGGGGCAGGGCGGGAGCGGGGCTCGGAGGGTCGGCCTTGCGGCGCGCCCCCAGCCCTATGCCGGCCGTCGATGACCCTGAGCCGTGGGGCAGCCGCCTGGAAGACCCCGGAGGGCAGGCCTGCCGCGTCCGGCCGCGCCTCGGCCCGGCGGCCTCTTACCCCCCGGGCCTGCCGGTGCCTCCTCTTGACCTTTGGCCTTCGACCCTTGCCCCCACGTCCAGGGCTCGTTCCCCTACTTCCGGGACGAGCCCTGGGGGCCGGAGGCCAGGCTCCGGGCTGGACCCGAGGGCGCCGCTCGCGGAACCCGGAGCCCCGACGCCCCCCCACTCCCAGGGACGCGCTTCCAGCCTATCAGCCCGCCCGCTGCGGGGCAGGCACCCCCGCGAAGTCAGCGGAAACCGGGTTTGCAGGGTGCAAACGAGTCCCGGCAGAAGGGAGCGCGTAGACACGGAAAATACAGTGGCAGCAAGGGGCGCCTGGGTGGCTCAGTCGGTTAAGCGTCTGCCTTTGGCCGGGGTCCTGGTTCCCGGGGTTCTGGGATCGAGCCCCACCTCGGGCTCCCTGCTCAGTGGAGAGTCTGCCTCTCCCACTCCCCCTGCTGGTGCTCTCGCTCTCACTCACTCTCAAATATCTTTAAAAAAGAAAGTGGCAGCAAGATTATGTAGTTTATTGAAGTAAGATTTAATTTTTAACAGTGACATTTTAAATGTATTTAAATTTTTTTGGTTATAACACGTAGGTGTTCAGACATGTATTACCAGGCCTCCGTTTGAATTCTTGTTCAGGTTCTGCAAATAGCGGAGACAGAAGACAGACCAATGAAAAGTAAAACTGACGTTTTTCAAATAAATAATAAAATTCAAACCAGAATTGAATACTCAGAAAAGTTTATTTCAAGGCTGAGGGTAGAATAAAGACATTTTCATGCAAACAGATTACCAACCCGGTGCTAAAGGAGACTGTGTCAGCGTGGGCTACACCCCTGTGACAGGCACACGAAATGGTTCCAGCATAAAAGAACTTTTTCTAAGCCCCCAGGGCTGGTGTCGAGGAGAGCAGCTGTTGTCCTCCATAAAATTAGGGACAAAAGAACAAGTGACAAAAGCCAAAAAAAAAAATGTATTTGTATTAACCTTCAAAATAAAAGTCACTTATTTTACCAGCAAAAATGGGTTTATTTGGGAATAGCAGAGAATTGCAATTAGGGACTTGCAAGCTATAGAAAAACCATGTGCCAGTCCAACAAAGGAGAGGAACTTCATTTTACGGAGAAGGAGGACATTGGCAGGGATTGCTTTGCACTAAAGTCCCTTGGAGAGAAGCAAGAGTTCCAGGTGAAGAGGGCTTCTTGGCTGAGGTGCAGGGGTGGGCCATTTTTTGTGGAGGCTGTATGTTCACCTCTTGGGTTCACCACCTGTTGGGGCCTGTAGTTGACTCTCCTGTTGAGGATTGTTTTGTTAGGGTCTGTAATTCACAATTCTTCCTGTAATCAATACCATGGAGTGGTATGGCTCCCCCTTCTGGCTCCTGACTCCATTTTGGTGAGGTTTCCCTTTATTTTTTTTCATATATATGTATATGTAAATCGGGCCTCAGCAAAATCAAAAACTTTTTGTGTTTCAAAGGACACCATGAAGAAAGTGAAAGGACAACCCACAGAATGAGAGAAAATTTTTGCAAATCATCTATCTGGTAAGGGTCTTCTTTCTAGAATATATAAAGAACATGTTCAACTTCATAACAAAAAGACAAACCTTACAAAATGGGCAAAGGAGGGGTGCCTGGCTGGCTCAGTTGGAAGGATATGAGTTTGAGCCCTATGTTGGGTGTAGAGATTACTAAAAAAAAATGAACTTTTAAAAAAATGGGCAAAGGATTGGACAGAAATTTCTCCAATAAAGATATACAAACGGCCAATGCACACACACAAAGGTGCTCAATATCATTAGTCACTAGGGAAATGCAAATCAGAACCACAATGAGATACCACTTCCTACATCCTAGAATGGCTATGACCCAAACGACTGGTGAGTATTGGAATACCTTCACTAGGGCCCACTGCTGGTGGCCACTGGCAGACTATAAAGGGACGGGATAGCTGAAAACATGACACGGTAATTTCAAGGGCGATAGATCAGTTGATGGGGCGAGGACAGTGACACTGCAACCTGAAAATGGGGCTGCAGCCTTGAGGTACTGCCAGCCACCTGGAGAGAGGGCCAGTGTCTAGCCAGCTGGCCTGCCCAGAGTGGCCAAGGCCCGTGCCAGGAGGCCTCCGTCCCCCAAGGACGAGCATGCAGATTTGTCCCTCACAGCCCCACAGTCAGGTCCGTGAAGGTGGCACAGTGCTGCCTTGTCGGGGCAGTGGGCGTGTCCCTCGAGACTCTAACAAGCTCCAAACAGGCCACAGTAACCCACTGTTCTCGCCCTGCTTACAGGTGCTGCTTGCCACAAGAAACTAAGGTACAGCCAGAAGCCACAAGCTCCAAGCAAGCCCCAGTGACCCAGTTCTGGACCAGTTTGATTCAGTTCAGACACTGTGCTAACCCTCCAGATGACCTCAGGACATTGCCGTATCACTGTAATAACAAAAAACACCTAAGGGCGCCTGGGTGGCTCAGTCGGTGATCAGGTCATGATCTCAGGGTCCTGGGATCGAGTCCCGTGTTGGGCTTTCTGCTCAGCAGGGAATCTGCTTCTCCCTCTGCCTCTGCCTGCCACTCTGCCCCTCTCTCTCTCGTCAAATAAATAAAATCTTAAAAAAAACCCAAACACCTACTATGCCCTGACAGATCCAATTGCACCCATTTAAGGGAAAAAAAGAGGTGGCAGTCTGATTCCAAGAAAGCCCCCTTCCTCTTCCCTAAAACACCCCTAGTCAGCTTGCTTACCAGCCCTTTAATTACCCTAACCCCGTATAACCCTCACCATGAGACCTAATCAGGAAGAAGATGCCTTTAGAGCATGAACTTCCCTTCTCCATTCTCTGGTTATTGAATAAATTACCAGCTTGCTATCAAATATGGTTTGGTTATTTGGCAAACAGTCTTGAGTAGGAAAAGAACTGGCCACTTTGGTAACAGGTGGGCTGCTCGGGCTCCACCACCATCTTGATTTCAGGGGTCACTTCAGGGCCCTTACCATGGGCATACCTGTGAGAAACCCAGAGACCGGCAGCCACTTTGCCGAGTTTGGGACCTCCAAGAATCTTTAATCTGTGGGCTGACGTGTCCCCAGTAGTAGACCAGACGCAGCCCAGTGACCCTGCTGAGTTGAACCCTGGGGAACCAGATGGCATGTAGGGGAACCTCTGAGAAGGAAGCCCCCTGAACCAGCAGCTTTGCTTCAGGTGCCATAGTGGGTAGGGGGTAAAGTTTCCCCCAAAGAGAGAGCTGTTATTCCCAGCAACAGGTGACACTAGGGGCAGGGTGGCTGCACCCCAAACATATGTTTCATTGGACTCGGTCAGATTGCCTGAGATGTCAGGTTGAGTGACAAGGCCAGGGGTCAGGCGGTCAGCTCTGTGAACTGGTCCTAGGCCAAGTGCGGCAGCCCACTCTGGGTCCCCATGACTTCCGGTTTCCTCCCAGGGCTTTGTGTCCCCACGTGGGGGCTGTGAAGCAGTTAGGTGCATGCCTTTGGACTCAGGGTGTACCTTGCGGGGCCAGCACGGTCTGACGAGTCTTGTCATCCAGGTGCTTTCCCTGAGCTGTGACACAAGCCCCAGGCAGGGGGGGGTGGGGGGCGGTGCACCAGCCAGCCGTCAAGGACCCTGTCCGGGACCTGGGATGGGTGCAGAGGGAGGAGTGTGTGTGTGGGGTGTGCGGGTCCCAGGGCCACCCGCCCAGCAAGCAGTTGCACAAAGCTGCTCCCCACTGTTGCAGTCCCCAGGACAGCAGGTCACTCCTGGCAGTCACTCACGGGCACCTTGACTTGCTCGGTTGCCTATATGACCAGCCACAGAAACTGTTCAGTATCAGGAGAGGGTCAGCCTGTGGTCTGGGCACTCTGTAAGAATTTTCAGATACCACTTCTTGCCTGCCTATGGCAACACCTCTCCCAACATCATTCTTTTAAAGTGCATGCATCCCTTGGATGTACGTTCCATTGAGAATCACATATTTATATATATTTATATGTCCATTTTCTGAATTCCATGAGGGCTGGGACTTGTCTCTTATTCTGGGATGAGTCCTCAGCACCTTGAATTATTAGAAGCTCTTAGATTACAGGCAGTGGCCCTGGTGCCATCCTGGCAGCAGCCTAGACATCTGTCTTTGCACACAAGGGATTCCAGAAGGAGGCATAGTTGGAGGTGGGTCTCCAGCACCCAGAATGCTGACCCTCTCCACTCCTGTCCACTCTTTGGCTTCAAAAATACTAGCAGCCAGACCTATATGCTGCAGGAAGGACACTGGAAGACTCTTACTGGGGAGCCTGGCCAGCCCAAAGGAAGGACTTAGAGATACTGATGGGGGTTCCCCAATTAACAGCCCCCCATCCTGAGCACCCCAGAGTTAAGCTCAAATTCAATGAGCCCCACTTACAAGCCTAGTATTTCCAAACAGCGTTCTGGCCTATTCTTCCTCATAAGCAAAAAACTACCTGCCAGCATGCAAAGTGTCTTCCTGGAAGGTAGAAACAGAAGAAACAATGGAGCAAACCTACCAAGCAGGAGAATGACACTTCAACGTTTCTCACTCATATTCTCAGACATTGCTTTCTTGAAGCAAGAACAGAACATTTCTCTAAAAAGAGACGTGTGTGGAAGAAGAGCTCTTGGAAATTAAACACTGTGACAGCAGAAACAAAAGCCTCATGGGGAGAAATCCTTCAGAAAGCAGAGCAACAAGTAAAGATGGAAAACAGGAGAGAATACATTGAACATTCAAGGTTCAGTCTCAAACCTCTGACATCCTAAAATAGGAATTTTAGAAAGAGGTAACAGCAAATAGGGGACAAGTCATTGGTGGAAACAATTGATAAGTGAAATAACCTATGAAACGTTCCCAGGACTGAAGGACAGGAGTGTCCAGACTGAGGGGTCTTTGAGTTCCCAACATAGTGAAAGAAAGTCCAGTCACATGGCGGCACCACCCTGAAATTTCAACAGATGATCCTAAAAATTTGCAGGGAGGTACAAGCCTCCACTGTGGTAAAGGATTGTAAATTTGAGTGCCTGTGAATTTCTTTCCTTTTTTTTAAGATTTAATTTACTTAGAGAGAGAGCGAGAGAGAGCACGAGTAGGGGAATGGACAGAGGAAGAGGGACAAGCAGACTCCCTACTGAGCAGAGAGCCCAATGTAGGGCTCTATCCTAGGACCCTGAGATCATGACCTGAGCCAAAAGTCAGAGGCTTAACCCACTGAGCCCCCCAGGTGCCTTGCTTGTGAATTTCTTAATGGCACTCCTAGAAGGGAGGAGACAATGCCTTCACAGTCTGAAGGAAGAGGTCTCTAACGTAGAGTTCTATGCTTAGGCAAACTACGAATCAAGTGTGAGGGTGAAACCAAGACATTTTCAGGCTTGCGGTATCATTAAAAAAATGATCTCCCAGACACAGCTTTTCAGCTTCACCCTAACAGGTGAGTGAATCAAGAAAAAAGAATAGATGGCTGAGGAGGGCCAGCACAGGGGGATAGGAATCCTCTGGGAGATGGAGAGGGAGAACCCAGACAGAAAGACCATCTACCCAGACTGGAACTGACTTAGGAGTGGTGTGCCAGGGACAGCCTCCTGTCCCTAGCCACCCTCCCTGGCTGGCCACTGGACTAGGTGGCCACAGAAAGGAAGCCTCCCGGTGGATTAGAACAGCAGATTCTAGTGCATGCCTAAGAAGGAATGATGCACCCTAACGCCGGGTTACAGGAAAGCCTTTTGGCAGAGGGCAGAAGCTTTCTAATCCTTACAAGACAGTAGAGGACAGATCTTCCTGAATTAGGGGAGTTCTCCAGAAAGGCCTGCATGCTTGAAAATGTACTAAATGTCTCCTGGGGCGGGTGGGGGGTGGGGAGGGGGACCTGCGAGAAAGTTCTTCACTTACCCTTTATCTTGAACTTTATACTTTATGTGTGTTACCTGTGTGTATAAACACCCGTGACCACACACACTCAGAACAGTGTCGTCGCCAAGAGCCTGCCTCGCAGCCCCACTTTGGACGTGTTGAGCCCTCCCCGACCCACCCTGACACCGCAGCCACCCTCGGACTTCCATCCAGAGGCTCCACGAGGTCCCAAGGTGAAGGTGCGCACCTCGCTTTTCTGAGGCAGGAGAGAGGCACCTCCTCCACCTTCTGGTCGCCTTTCCCACGTCTCCTTTGGAAGGAGACACGAGCCGCCTGGACGGCCGGCCCCATCCTCCCTCCGTGGGGACACCCGCCCAGCAGCGGGGCTGCACGCACCCACGGAGCCACGCTCGCCCTCACCCTGCCCTGCAGCCCGCACGTGGGCCGCAACTCTAGGGGAAGCCCCAAACCCAGCCCAGAGGGTCACGTGGTGCGGCTGGCGCCCCGGCCTGGCCTCACCCCGCGCTCCTCGCTCCTCGCTCCACCTACCCGCCTGCGCCTCCGTGCCTCGCGCCCCCCGGGCCCACTCCCGCAGCCGGGTGCCTCCAGCCCCTCCCCGCCGCGCCTTGCCTCTCCCTTCCCCTATCGCT